TACGCCATTGGGTAGAATATTTCTGGTATTTTTCATAATTTTTCTTTGAGCAGAACAAGAGAAATGGAGCTTAAACTATAAATTACAGCTTGATACTTAGCAGAAAGGGTTTTCTTCGAGAGGTCTATCGAATAATATACATACACCAAGGTCAATTTGATTTGAGGGCACTTTTACAATGCTTATTCTGTTATACCCTTTAAATGAAAAACCAAAAACTCTTGGCTACTAGAAATAATTCTACTAAGTAAATACTCCAAATAGAAAGAATATCATCTTCAAAACAAATTAAATATATACTAATAAACTGCTAAACAATTACTGAACGTTAATATTAGTTTCTCTTATATTTACGTTTATAAATTGATAAATTATGAGAATTGTAAAATTCTGTGTATCATTAAAATTTCGTATTTTTTAAGTTATAAAACTTCTGTTGTTATTATTCCTACAATTATTCAGCATAATGTCAGAAGATTACTACGATTAAGAGTGATATTTTAATTGCTTTTTATTCCTTTAAGTTCTTATTTTTACAGTATATGACTATATAATCTTAAAAAAGTATATACGTTTTTTGTTTATTTTTAATTATTTTCTATAGATACCTCATAAATAGGGCTACCATACGTCCCGGTTTTCTGATTTCTTGATTTCTGAAGTGACTAGATTTTTAAAGAGCTCTAAAGTGTATGGAATTCTATGAACAAATTAAGGATAATAAAACATTTCTTAAGAAAGTTTTATCTCCTAAATAAATTGTCGTTATACTTTCGATTACTATTTTATTTTTCACTTTACACGATTCTTTAATTACTATAATAAAAGCACACTTTTTAAAAAAATTTTCCTTGGGTCCTCTTTCTTTTTTTTTTAACCTGTCTTGATTTGTTGATGAAAAAATATGGTAACCCTACTCATAAAGAATGTTTTGTAATGATTGTTAGAATATTCTACTTACACGTCTAAAAAATGAGTTTAAAATATTTGTAGCAGAGAAAGTAATCTTACCATACATCGTCCAACTCGACTATACTTGGTTGCATCTTCATTTACTTGATAAATATAAATGTAATTATCTCTGGAACCGAGCGCTAATAATGTACCATCTGGTGAAAAGCGAATGACCTGGAAATGCAATCTACAATCAGTTTCGTGGTCGGTAACGGTATAAGGTTTATCATGATGAAAATTAAATAATCAGAAAAGTGATGAAATGTTACCTGAAATATTTTATAACAGTAATAAGGAATTTTATTCTTAAAATTTTTAAGTAACTTTTCACGTTAATTTATTGTGAATATTATGCAAAGGCATTCCCTATAAATTTGAGTTATTATTTCTTTAATGTTTTAGAAGTAATTTCAGATACACTTTGACAATTGCACATGATTTGCTGCGGGCAGTCTATTGTTTTCTTTTTTCATTATAAAAATTTCACTATTATTCTAATTATTATAATATACATATGTATTTCAACATACAAGAGAATGTGAAAGCACAAGAACAATTTTTTATAAATAAAGTAATTGACATTTTTTTTGTTTCAAAGCTAATTTGAATATCAGAGTCAAAATCATTTGAAAGTGGCCTGTTAAGTTGATCTTTTTTCACTATTTCATAACTAAGCATAAAGTGACTTTATTTTTACCTTGAAAAGTTGAAGCAAAAATTTATTCTTTTATGCATTCATTTTCCAGAAAACGTAATAAAGACTATTTTCTTACATCCTTTCTCATATCTCTAATCACTTATTAATTATAACACATACATATTTATAGGCAGCTTCAAAAACCGAAAGGCACACTCGATCAATTTTTGCTTTTTTAAAGTGGTATAAATCCATTTATTCTTATATTGAGATATTTAAGGGTTTGTGTTTGAATTAATTAAAAAATATTGGTAAACGTTAATAATTTCGTCTAATGTTTCTAAAACTCTGACATATTAAATTTCATCAGGTGAAAATAATTATTAATATTGGAAAATAATTATTAATATTACTTTATTGGTAAAGAAAAACAAGGTGTTTTTAGCCACAAATGGACTTATACCACTTAAAAAAAAAAACATTTATGCAATAACATTTAACAGTTAAACTTCTTTTGATAAGTTCATGAGGATATTATAGTGTATTGACTTTGTTATTATAAATATGAAAAGAAGACATCCATGTTTAGCTGAAACTAACTTTAACTCATTTTTTTCAAAATTGGTCTTACATCACTTAAAAAAATAAAACGGCTGGTATATACTTTTGTTCAAATCAATATATTACCTGAATAGGTTCTGACCCATCAATATGAAGAGAGTATAATTGACGAGTTTCACTGTCGATTGCCAACCATTTTCCGGCATTGCATCCGACCACCATAACATTACCATCTGGTGAGAACCCAATGCTCTGTGCTTGTTCCTAAATGAATGAAAATCCCATTTAATTACTGTGGAATTATTGTTGCAGTAGCCTCATTCTTTCTCACAATTTCAAGAATAGAAAATTAACGTATTCATTCATTTTAATGTATACAATAATTACGATATTATTAACTTAATGACCTTTTCAATTATTGTATATTTATAAACTCGACAGAATGCGTATCAGTATAACACGAAAAGCTTCTTGCGTTTACTCTGACAATTGTGAGTAAACGAACAAAATCCCTCTTCAACAACTGCAAGCGAATAGGAATGTCTTAAATTAACTTTTTTCTAGAAATTAATGCAATAAAAATCATTTCACATTACAGAGAGTATTCTCATGCGTTCTTTTAATATTTTCGGTTTGTAAGTAATTCGTACTGTATCATTTGGAAGATTAATTTCGTTTTTTAAAGAGAAATGTTCTATTTTTTATGCCAAAATTCGAAGAAATTATTAACAATTGAGCCGCCCATTTGCCAAACCGTTTAGCTCCAAGAAACAAAGAGCAGAGAAAATTGATGACATTATATACATAAAGTATAAATATTAATATTTTTTATACCGTTGCATTACAAAATTACTCGTTGACTAAATTCTTATAAGCGTTTGAATTACATTATTGCAACGATTTTCTTTAGATTATGGAGTTAAACACATTATTCATTATTCAACGGCCATAAAAATTTTCGTTATTCAGTGGTGTTAAGCCTAATTGTTAAGGTAATTTATTTCAAATATAAAACTTTGACACTAAAATTTAAAAAAATTCAAAAAGTGGAGTTATCCATTTTAGTCTGTGAACGGCTCAATTATTGGTACTAAATGCAACAATTAAATGAGATATTTCGTTTCGTTTACTGAAAATTGTCTTTGTGTAGCATCAAATTTAAACTATAATAGAGAAAATTGTGATTTTAAGATATATGTAGGTTTAATATTTTTTTATCTTTAAACTTTATAATCTTGGAATTGTAAACTGAATAAAGTTAATACATTTCGCAAAAAAAGTCATTTTTTTAAAAATTGCACCTAACTCTGAGCATAAACCCAAATAGAACAAATAACTAAACGTTTAATAGAACAGTGAACAATAAGGCTGTTTAACCAACAGGGGTTTATGGCACGGATTCCAAGCGACGTTACTTTTGAGAAGTTTTTTCTACAAGTTTTTTGATAACAATAGCCTATTCAAGCCAGAGAGCAAATCCGGTTTATTACCTGATGGCCGCGGAAATTCTCCACTTCTGTGGGCCACATGGTAAGCCGGTACTTGCCTCTGCGCGCTCAGTAAC